TTTCGCTTCGTTCTCGCAGATTCGTTTCATTTGCTTATGGTATTTTGTGTACTTTGTAGACTTTGTCAGTGGAAGCAAACCATGTTGCCTTCAGCATTTAGTGTCGGAGAACCACAGCCTCATTTCCAACGACCACAATAGGGCTAAAGCGCCACCTGCTGTAAAACGAATCAAATGATTAGTTCAAGATTCGTTCACTCACTCGTTCATTTTACTGTTCGAGAGTCAAAGATTTGAATCAGTAAAAAGAGTCGTTCTTCCCATCACTTGGTGACAGTCATGTGTTCCCATGAACAAAGTGATGAGCCCGCCCTGTCACCTGAGTGGTAGACTCCGTGCTGGACGCTTGTGATTGGATAACGAGGCGCAGACTAGAAAAGCGGAAGGAAGTGGCGATTCTTTTGGACCGGTGGAGGCTGCGAGGTGGTTGGTATGATTTCGGCGGTACGTATTTCTATTTCTGGGTTTCCTCATTTTGTATTTCTCAGAGCGTCCGGACGGTTTGTTTTAAACCGTCTGCACGCTGCTGGGCAGCCGGTTAGCGTGCTAAACAGTAGCCTGTTTGAGCCGCACGGGTTGCTAATTCAAGCTAATTCTGACTGCACGTATCGCTTAATTTTGGCATGTGCTAGTGAGGAAGCGGCTTGTTCTGTGGGGAACGTTTTTCTTTCCCCCAGGTGTAGCAGCAGACCGGTGGACTCCACGACGCCAAGAAGTCCGAAGCATCTGGTTTCTGTTTTATTGTGAGTACGATTTAGTAGTTTTCCCCAAGAATGATGTTTGTTTGCAGCTTCAGTAAATGATCAAGCTAAATTTTACCATTTTGTTAAAACTAGCATTTTTGTTGAGACATTAGCATGTTCCCCATCAGGCGGCGTTCCTCAGTGCACTTCAATGCTTTTGTTTTTTTTGTCTTGACTTCCTTTAGGTCACAGGACGTCGGAGCCCATGACCAAAGACTAGCCTGTGAGGAGGTTGCAGGAACGCTGCCATCCAAGTGGAAAAGGAAGCAGAAGAGAGGTAACCTGTGGATGATTGAGTACAGCCAGAACAAGTAGTTGTTGCATTTTCTTGTCTTGTGACATTGTCTTTATTTCATCTTGTGTTTCAGGCCAGAAGAAGAGGTTTAACCAAGTTGCTGCACTCCTGATGATGGGGCCATTGTTGAATCCAGTGAGCACGTAATGTTACATGCATTTGTAAATGTGTTTTGCTAATAAAAGGCTAAAGTTATTTTTGTTGTTCTGTTCTTTGTGGTAAGTATTCTGGTAGGATTTTTAGCTTTTTACTTGTTTAATTTAGATGCTGTGTAAAACCTAACTTAGAAACTTTAACTTAGAAACTTTAACTTAGAAACTTTAACTTAGAAACTTTAACTTAGAAACTTTAACTTAGAAACTTTAACTTAGAAACTTTAACTTAGAAACTTTAACTTAGAAACTTTAACTTAGAAACTTTAACTTAGAAACTTTAACTTAGAAACTTTAACTTAGAAACTTTAACTTAGAAACTTTAACTTAGAAACTTTAACTTAGAAACTTTAACTTAGAAACTTTAACTTAGAAACTTTAACTTAGAAACTTTAACTTAGAAACTTTAACTTAGAAACTTTAACTTAGAAACTTTAACTTAGAAACTTTAACTTAGAAACTTTAACTTAGAAACTTTAACTTAGAAACTTTAACTTAGAAACTTTAACTTAGAAACTTTAACTTAGAAACTTTAACTTAGAAACTTTAACTTAGAAACTTTAACTTAGAAACTTTAACTTAGAAACTTTAACTTAGAAACTTTAACTTAGAAACTTTAACTTAGAAACTTTAACTTAGAAACTTTAACTTAGAAACTTTAACTTAGAAACTTTAACTTAGAAACTTTAACTTAGAAACTTTAACTTAGAAACTTTAACTTAGAAACTTTAACTTAGAAACTTTAACTTAGAAACTTTAACTTAGAAACTTTAACTTAGAAACTTTAACTTAGAAACTTTAACTTAGAAACTTTAACTTAGAAACTTTAACTTAGAAACTTTAACTTAGAAACTTTAACTTAGAAACTTTAACTTAGAAACTTTAACTTAGAAACTTTAACTTAGAAACTTTAACTTAGAAACTTTAACTTAGAAACTTTAACTTAGAAACTTTAACTTAGAAACTTTAACTTAGAAACTTTAACTTAGAAACTTTAACTTAGAAACTTTAACTTAGAAACTTTAACTTAGAAACTTTAACTTAGAAACTTTAACTTAGAAACTTTAACTTAGAAACTTTAACTTAGAAACTTTAACTTAGAAACTTTAACTTAGAAACTTTAACTTAGAAACTTTAACTTAGAAACTTTAACTTAGAAACTTTAACTTAGAAACTTTAACTTAGAAACTTTAACTTAGAAACTTTAACTTAGAAACTTTAACTTAGAAACTTTAACTTAGAAACTTTAACTTAGAAACTTTAACTTAGAAACTTTAACTTAGAAACTTTAACTTAGAAACTTTAACTTAGAAACTTTAACTTAGAAACTTTAACTTAGAAACTTTAACTTAGAAACTTTAACTTAGAAACTTTAACTTAGAAACTTTAACTTAGAAACTTTAACTTAGAAACTTTAACTTAGAAACTTTAACTTAGAAACTTTAACTTAGAAACTTTAACTTAGAAACGTGCTCTGCTACAAATAAAGTTTCTCCTTCACTCTACCTGGCAGAGTCCAAGTCTTCTCCTTTGTTAGTACAATGGCAATAGCATACAAGGCACAATGAATGCCAACAATGAGCTGGAATAACACAATCAAAGATCGTGTTGGTCTCTGCATGCCGTCACGGTGGAAAGCCGAAGAACCTGCAGATTAGAAGAACGCAGCAATGTACCACATATTAACACAAACATACACACTCGAGGGCGACTAAATGTTTGATAAACGACAGCAATAGCTATCTAGCAAAACTATCGATAGATAGCTAAAGTTAGCTTAGCCTTCGTAACATTCATTTGCTTGTCGTCGTGTGTGTGGCACACACGACTTCAAGCAAATGTTTGTTACGAAGGCTAAGCTAACTTGACACGAACAAAGTTAAAACGTTTGTTCGTGTGCTATTAAGTTAGCTTAGCCCTCGTAACAAACATTTGCTTGTCGTCGTGGGGGCCGGCCCCACACGACGACAAGCAAATGAATGTTACGAAGGCTAAGCTAACTTAATAGCACAGGAACAAACGTTTTAACTTTGTTCGTGTCAAGTTAGCCTAGCCCCCCCCCCCCACCCGAACAGGACAACCAAATGTTTGTCTGAAAAGGAAGAGCGCAGCTTTCCGGTATTATTTATAGGATCTTGCTACGCATCCGCAAACTAGAGGAAATGACGTAAATGTCATTAACGTTAAAGGTTTCAGGTGCAAACTCTATATATTTGTAAAATTAAAATTAATTAAACTAGTATATGGATTCATGATACATTAGACATCACAATAAATGAGAATTCAAGCTCTAATTTGCCTTTTTAAAAATATTTTCCTTTC